TGTGAAAACTCTACTTTTATAATCTATGGCGCGAGTGGCTAGTATCGTGTTTTATACGTTACAAATGTAGTTAACATTAATTGGTAGCTCGTGAGGTAAAATGCCAGTTTTTCGTCAGGGTAATATTACAGTTGTTTCATATTATTCTGAAAGCTTGATTTTTTGTACTCATTTTTCAATCATGTTTATAATAATAATAATAATATCACCACCCATAGAAAACTTAAAAGTTAACAATATTTAAAAAAATATCAACAATAAAAAGCCTGGCATATTACCTTACCTCCTTGGGTAATATGCTCCTTTGTAGAGTTTTCGAATTATTTTTTTTCTTAAAGTATACATAAGTTAAACACACTGACAAAATGAAGGCTTATAAATGGCATAATCTATTGCATATAAAATATTTTAAACAACATGCATATTTTCCAAGTTACTCCTTTTCTAAAATTAGTTGTGTCATATTACCCCAACTTACTACATCACGTTTTATTAAAATAAGAAGTGTGGGAGGGCATTTTCGGAACTGCAATTATAATTTAATATTTAATTGCAACCAAATATTGATGAATGTTCAGATTTTATTTTACAATTCATAATTCAGTTCTTTTTTTAAATTTTAATAAATATAATTATTAATGCAGATTGACAATTGAACAAGCTTTAGTGTGTCATGAAAATGCGGTGCAGAAATTTGCAAAATTTCCGAAAAGTAAGTTTTCTTTATTTTTTTATTAAAGAAAGGAAAAATGAAACATTCGCTATTAAATTAAAAGATAATATTTTAAAATATTTAAAATATATTTCTAAAAACTATCCATTTTAATAGAGATTTCTCTAGTAGCTATATGGTAAAATATTAATTTCTATTGAAGTATTCTATCATATCCTTAACGAGAAAGGACAAGTTTAAAATAATATCAGTTAATTTGTTTTCGCCATATTAAAACACATGATAAAAATTTAAAAAGTGTAAAAATTAATATTGCCGCGTTTTGCATTCCAACAATAAAATAAATAAATATAAATATTTACAGCTAATATAGAACAAGTTCAATTAAAATAAATATTATTTAATTGCTATTACTGTTTTTAATATAAACCAAAATAACATAGAATTTAATTTTTTAGTGTTCGGACCCTTTGAATATCCTAAATGCACATTGTTTAGAGATATTAAGCTCTTTGAGCTATTTACAGAAAAGAGAGGTATTTTACTTTTAATAATATTTCCAATTTAATTTATAAAAAAACAACAATGACTAATAATGAAATTCTTTCCATTATACACAATAAAGTTAGAATAATTAACACTGCAGACGTTGTAACTTTTAAAGGTCACACATAGATAATTTTCACAAAATTAACAGAAAAAATAAATTTTTATATGCAAATTTCAGCCTAAAATTTCCGTTTTTAATTTTTTAAAAATAAATGTTCTAGAATCACCGTACTATCTACTAAAAGGTTCATCAGCGAACAAAAAAATGCAAAGAAATTATGAACAATTACCTTCACTAATTATAATCAAACTAAAACATACATACAAAATGTTTTAATTGTTTACAACTTTTATAACTTAATTAAAAACAATTCATGATACAGTTCTATCAACAAAAAGATTAAGAATATGTTCGACACAAAAATTTCCATATTTTATTGACTAAATACTAACATTTTAGATTGTATTATGTCAAATTTAAAAGAACTTAAATTTTCCATACGTCTAAAAAGCAATAACCTAACAATCTTTTCTATTATACTTAAATTGAATTAAAACATTGTTTTAAAAAACTAAAACGTACATTTTATAGCGAACTGGCATTTTACGATTAGAAATTTATCAAAAATGCTTTCGTTGAATTAGTTAAAAATAAAATTATATCAAAAATTTAATAATACAACAACTTGCAATTTCAACTTCAGTCTTCTAATTATATACATATAAACATTTTAGCACCGTCAACTTCAAACTCAAGGAGTATAGCTCAAACAAAAGAAAGTAATTATCAAAAAATATTTTTTGCTTTAATAAATCTAGAACAAAACTTACTTTAAACTTATCCTGAAAATATTTACTATTCATTTTTCTTATCATCGTTAAAAGTTTCTCATTAATTCATTAAATACATTCTTACACTTTAAAATTATACAGAGTCAAAAGCATGTAATAAAAATGATGGTGACATAAGTACGATTTGTTCGATCAAAAACATCAGGCTTCGCTCTCTTCGACTAAAAGCTACTATTTGCTACTTTGTTGATGGTTGGATACTTTTTTCAACCTTAGTCTACTAAAAGCTACTTTTTCACTATTTACACAACTTTTTGTTACTTTTTTGTCGACTAATAAGTTCAAAACCTGTTTATGGTTTTAAGTAATTTTAAATAGCACACAAAAATTTGATCTGTAAACTGCTGAATATCTTGCGGTTACTTTAACCCATTAAAATTTATGAAAAATTAGTATTAAATCAGTACTTTAAATTTCAAATAGGTTCTAAATACTTAAATATTAATTAAAAACTTAAAGATTCTAAAATTTTCTAGAAATTAGAAGAAAATAAAAAACTAGATAAAAATAAATATCTAAATAAAAATAAACTAGATAAATGAAAAACTAGAAATTAAGAAAATAGAGTGATTTATCCCCCATCACTGAAATATACATAGATAACCGGCTATTTTTCACAGTTTTTCATAAATGTTAATGCCGTAGGTTAAAGTAACCGCAAGATATTTAGCACCTTAGAGATCCAATTTTTGTGTCATTTTTGTATGCTTACTTACTTTGACAGACCAACTTTGAAAACATATTTTATCTATTATTTTCATTTTTTCACTTAATTAATTAAATTATCTTACGTATTTTGGGTCGCTGAAACCGAATCCGGGGTCAGAATTTAAAAGTTGGCTCTTATTTTTGAGATAAACTCAAAAAAGTGCTTAAAAAAGAAAAAAAATCAAAAAGTGAAAAAATTTTTGTATGACACTGCGATAGTGTAATTCCATGTATTTTTAGCCACTGATTCTGAATCCAAAGTTAGAATTGTTAGATTTGCTGAAATGTTTTGAGATAATTGCAAAAAACTCAATAAACAAAAAATTCAAAAAAACTCAAAATCAGTTTTTTGGCATTATCTCCAAAATTTAAGCTAATCTCTCAATTCTGACTTCGAATTCGAATTCAGTGGGAAAAAGTACATTGTACATGGATATACAACATCGTAGTCTTTTGGCAAAAAATTATCTTTGTCCCTAATTCAGTATTTTTATCAGATTTTTGTGATTATCTCTAAGAACCGTTTTTTGTCAGAAGCACTTCGATAGTGTATTTCCATGTTTTTTTCCCACTGAATCCGAATTCGAAATCAGAATTGCGAGATGGACTAAAATTTTGAAGGTAATTCCTAAAAACTGATTTTCATTTTTTTTATTTTTTTGATTCTTGAGTTTCTTGCGATTATCTAAAATATTTGAGCGAATATAACAATTCTGTCTTTGGATTCATATTCAACATCAAAAAATACATAGAATTACACTATCGCAGTGTGATAGAAAATTTTTTTCAGTTTTTGATTTTATTTTTCTTTTTAAGCAGTTTTTTGAGTTTATCTCAAAAATAAGAGCCAACTTTTAAATTCTGACCCCGGATTCGGATTCAGCGACCCAAAATATGTAAGAATGACTAGTCTATTTCGCCCGACAAAATTACTTTTTTTCTGAGGCTGGGTAATCAATAAAAGATAATAAATTAATTAATTCTGAACAAGAGCCAGTAATACATTGTAAATTTTAAAAGAGTTGTCTATATTTTTAATAATCTTTCTAATTGCTGAAAAAGTGAGTTTTCCATATCTTCTCCATTTTAAACTCATATTTCAAGATAAATAATAAAAATTTTGGCTTAATTGTTTTTATTTCGTTCTCTAAATATCATGGAGAATCATTTCGGAAAGTATCTATTTTTTAAAAAATTTGGCCTTAACGACTTTTGATATAAAATATAATGGATTGATCCAAAAATTTGTAATTACCCCTATTGCCATTTAAATGTTCGAAAATTCTTTACTTTTATGGTGTAATTTTAATTTTTTATACCCTAAAAACTAAGTATTATGCAAATTATTATGTAAATTAAGTGTTGAAATTTAATTTTTTAAAATTAAATACAATTTAATATATAAACTACACATATTTTTAATTTTTTCCGTAGGCTACTTTTTTCTACTTTCTTTACTTTTCAGGCTACTTTTTGCTACTATTTTTTTACTGACTAATGATTGCGAAGCCTGAAACATGTCAGACGACGAACGTGATATTTTACTACTTACTCTTGACAGATAAATTTGAAACTAGGCACAATAAAAGTTTTTTAAAATACTACAATCAGAAGCATTAAAATGCTTAATACTTCTAGAACTATTATGACTTAAGTATCAACGTTTCATTCAAATTTTACTGTAGAAAAAAAAAATTTAAATTTAATTTTAGATTGAAAGTTATGTTTTTAATATACAAATCATAACATTTCAGATTCACCAGTACAACATTCAAAACACTTTCAACCATCGAAACAACTGAAAAGTAATTATCTATTAATCTTTCAAGTTTTAATTAAAGTTAATCAAAACTTATCTGATGTTCAAAACTATAAATACTAGATTTTATAACAATCGGTCATTTTATGATTAACATTGTAAAAGAATACTTTCGTCACATTAGCTGAAAAATTTTAAAATATAATAACTTGCACCTTCAACTCCAGTCTTCTAAATATATACATATAAACATTTTAGAATCATCAACTTCAAAGTCAATAAGTGTGGCTCCAAAAACAGAATCAAAAAGTAATTGTCAAAAAATATTTTAAGTTAATGAAAGTACAACAAAAAAAACTTCAAATTTATAATGAAAATTTTACTATTCATTTATCTTATTATCGTTAAAGGCATCAGATGAATTCATTAAATACATTCTTACATTTGTAAATTATACAGGGTTGAAACCATGTGATGACTCTGATGTTGAAAGCAGTATGATTGATTCGGACGACAACTATTTAGACATCGAACGTGGTATTAAACTACTTAATCTTGATAGATAAATTCTGAACTAGGCACAATAGAAGTTTTTTTAAATACTACAATCAGAAGCGTTAGGATGCTTAATACTTCTAGAAATAATATAACTTAAGTATTAACATTTCATTCAAATTTTACAGTAGAAAATTAACATTCAAATTTAATTTCAGATTGTAAGTTTGGTTTTTAATATACAAATCCTAAAATTTTAGATTCTCCGGTGCAAGATATAAAACGCTTGAAACATTTGAAACAACAGAAAAGTAATTATCTATTTATATTTCAAGTTATAATTGATGTAACCCAAACTTATCTTCACAAAACTAAAAATAATACATTTAATAACGAAGGGTTATTTCCTGATTAACATTGTATCAAAATACTTTCGTCACATTAGCAGAAAAATTTTAAAATATAATAACTTGCACCTTAAACTACAGTCCACTAATTATATACATATAAACATTTTAGAACCGTTTACTCCAAAGTCAAGAAGAGTAACTTTTACAGCTGAACCCAAAAGTAATTGTCAAAAAATATTTTTTGCTTTAATAAAACTAGAACAAAACTTACTTTAAAATTATCCTGAAAATATTTACTATTCATTCATCTTATTATCGTTACAAGTTTCTCATCAATTCATTAAATACATTCTTACATTTTAAAATTATACAGAGTCAAAAGCATGTGATGAAAGTGATGGTGACATAAGTATGATTGGTTCAGTCGAAAACATGTCAGACGACGAACGTGGTATTTTACTACTTACTCTTGACAGATAAATTGGAAACTAGGCACAATAAAAGTTTTTTAAAATACTACAATCAGAAGCATTAAAATGCTTAATACTTCTAGAACTATTATGACTTAAGTATCAACGTTTCATTCAAACTTTACTGTAGAAAAATAAAATTTAAATTTAATTTTAGATTGAAAGTTATGTTTTTAATATACAAATCATAACATTTCAGATTCACCAGTGGAACATTCAAAACACTTTCAACCTTCGAAACAACTGAAAAGTAATTATCTATTAATCTTTCAAGTTTTAATTAAAGTTAATCAAAACTTATCTGATGTTCAAAACTATAAATACTAGATTTTATAACAATCGGTCCTTTTATGATTAACATTGTAAAAGAATACTTTCGTCACATTAGCTGAAAAATTTTAAAATATAATAACTTGCACCTTCAACTACAGTCTTCTAATTATATACATATAAACATTTTAGAATCATCAACTTCAAACTCAAGGAGTATGTCTCAAATTAAAGAACCCAAAAGTAATTTTCAAAATATATTTTTTGCTTTAATAAAACTAGAACAAAACTTACTTTAAAATTATCCTGAAAATATTTACTATTCATTCTTCTTATTATAGTTACAAGTTTCTCATCAATTCATTAAATACATTCTTACATTTTAAAATTATACAGAGTCAAAAGCATGTGATGAAAGTGATGGTGACATAAGTATGATTGGTTCAGTCGAAAACATGTCAGACGACGAACGTGGTATTTTACTACTTACTCTTGACAGATAAATTCGAAACTAGGCACAATAGAAGTTTTTTAAAATACTGAAATCAGAAGCATATAATGCTTAATACTTATAGAACTATTATGACTTAAGTATCAATATTTTATTCAAATTTTACAGTAGATAATTAACATTCAAATTTTATTTTAGATTATAATTATATTTTCGGTTTTTAATATACATATCCTAACTTTTTAGATTCTCTGGTGCAAAATGTAAAACGCTTTCAACATTTGAAACAGCCTAAAAGTAATTATCTATTAATCTTTTAAGTTATAATTGAAGTTATTCAAAACTTATCTGATGTTCAAAACTATAAATACTATATTTTATAACAAACTGTCATTTTATGATTAACATTGTAACAGAATACTTTCGTCCCATTAGCTGAAAAATTTTACAATAGAATAACTTGCCTCTTCAACTATAGTCTTCTAATTATATACATATAAACATTTTAGAACCGTCAACTTCAAACTCAAGGAGTATGGCTCAAAATAAAGAACCCAAAAGTAATTATTATCAAAAATAAGTAATTATCAATTAAGTAATTATCAAAATATATTTTTTGCTTTAATAAAACTAGAACAAAACTTACTTTCAAATTATCCTGAAAATATTAATTATTCATTTATCTTATTATCGTTGAATGTTTCTAATCAATTTATTGAATACATTCGTAAACTTGTTTATTATACAGGTTCAAAACCATCTGATATCGACACTGATGATGCAATCTCTCTGATTGGATTTGTCGAAATTTTTCCAAACGTCGAAAATGGTATTTCACTACTTACTCTTAACAGATATATTCCAAGTTAGGCCCAATAGTAGTTTACCAATAACTTAAATCACAAGCATTAAAATTTTTTAACACTTTTGGATTATTCATGACTTAAGTATCAACATTTCATAAAAATTTTACTGTAATAAATTAAAATTCAAAGTAAATTTCAAATTTAAATTTGGGTTTTTTTAGATATACAATTTCGAGCATTTTAGATTCTCCGTTGCAAGAATCTAGAGATTTTCAATCGTTTAAACATTCAAAAAGTAATAAACTAATAATGTTTTGAATTATAATTAAAGTAGATCAAAATCAATCATCTTTTTAAAATTTTAAAAACTTAAATTTTTTATAAATTAAAATGACTTAATAAAAACAATAACATTCGGACAATGATTCTTTAATTTTTCTCCAACGTTTCGAAATCCAACCGATTTTCTCTTCAGGGAGTCTATTATGTAAAATAAAAAAATATAAAAATAAAAATTACAAATATAAATTAGTTAACAATAATAACACATAATGTTTAATGTCATTTAAAGTTTTGATAAATATATGTATTAGTAATTGTTTTTATTATAATTAAAAATTTCATAATTTCATAAAATTTATCTGTCGATTAGATTAAATCTTCAAATACATAACAACTTTTAACACAATTTTATAATTAAACTATATTTTTTAAACAATAGTAATAAATAAGTTGAGTAGGCATTAAATATAAATAAAATAAAAGGTAATATTTATTCTGTTTAGCTTCCAAACATAAAGAACAAAAAAATAAACCGTTCATAATACAGGACAAAAAACTAAATGAAGATAAAAAATTTCATTTTAAGAGTCGACCAAAGTCTCAAAGCACACCAAGTTCGTATTAAAAAATTGTTTTTTAATTAATAATTCATTGCTTTAACTGTTTAAAAAAATGATGGAAAAAATTAATTTACATTATAATTGGAGTATTGTAATGAAAATTTATTTTTTTATACACTGAGAAAACTGGAGGTTTAAATTAAGAGGTTAAAAATGTGTAGATAATTATAAGATAATTATCTTAAGTTACTTACACACCTTCTGTCTACTTGTGTAGGCAGCGGAAAACGTACAAGAGTAAGAAAGACAGAAAATTCAAAATTAAATCTACTGATTCTCTTAGTGATTCTTACAGGCTGCCTGCACAGGCAGTCAGGAGATGTCAAGTACTTTATTAAGAGAGTTTGGCAGTCCTTCTAAACATATTTTTTAATTTATAAAGAAAATCAGTTTTTATGTTCTGTCCGTTTACGTACAGAGGAACTGAAGGGTGCGCAGAAAGTTTCAACTATTTGATTCGCAAGAAAATCGCACGTATTTAATTTTGAGATTGGGATGCTATATTTATATTAATTTCGCGCAAGATAAGAAAATGATTCTTCAAGATTTATAATTTCTTCTTTTATCGTGAACTCATATCTCTCCAGGAGGAATGGCTAGAAATTCTGTCAACTGTGTAATTAAAAATCTAAATTAATGTTCCATAGCTATTTCTGAAATATAAATTCTTTGTCCATTCAGAGGTTTACTTTAAACCCCCAATTTTCTCAGTTTAATACGCATTTTTGAATTTATATAAAAACCTTTTATATATATATATACATATATATATTATAAAAGTAATGAAATAATCATAGTAAATAAATATATTTTTATTTTATATATATATTATTATAAATAATTATTTCTAACAACATTAACTTAAAAATATTTAAAACTGAAAATTATTCGTGACGTCATAAAGGTTTAAATGGCCTAAAATCTTCATAGATTCTAAACATAACCAAATTTAATATATAAGTGTGATGGACAGTATACTACCTTGATTTTAACTAGTAATTTAGCTTACACAAAACAACAATAAAAGATATATCTTTTCTTTCTTAAAAACAACAAAAGAAAACTTCTTTAATTTTTTTTATTTACATTTTCTTTCATTCAACAACATTTCAACAACAATAATTGACCAAATTTAAAAATTATATATATATCTACAAATTTTAGCTTCAAAACCGGACAAGCTCGACAATCAATTCGCCGAGAAACACGAAACAGAGGGTCCAAGCTCGTCATGTTCGTACCTTCTTTTTACATTAATTAATTACTTTTCACAGTAACTGTTGACTAGTTTATCAAACAAACAAATTTTTACTATATTTTTCGTTTTACCAGCACACTAAATCCTCTAAAGTAATTCTTGATAATGATTTTAATTCTTGACGTCTTGAAATAATTTATGACTAATTGTTCAATTTAATTTTTCCTTAAACTTAACAATTTTTAAAATTAAATCATTTGATGTTTTATTAATATGTAACTGTAGAGGAATGAAACACATTATCGTAAATTTTAATTGTACTGAATGTCTTAAGATAAAATACTTTTTGTCTCAAATTTCAAAACGTCAGAAACAGTTGAGTTACATGAAATATTAACCAATAGAAAAATTAATTTTAAAACCATGAGTATCTAAAAAAATTAATTAAAAGAACTTTACGTGCCCTTAAAAGATCTACTCGCTCAATTTTTATTACATTGAATCAAAATGTAACTAATAAAACTTTACATTTCATCTTGAGTTTAAAAAAGTGGAATAAAAAATCTCAAAAATAACAAAATTTCCAAACAATTAACAAAAACTTCTATTTATTAAACTTAACGTCTTATAGAATTTCCACATGACTCACTGAATCGATAAATACACTTAGTAAAAATAAAAAACTGAGTCAATTAGATTGTTATGAAATTAGTTACTCGATGGGTTTAGACGTCACTGACTTATAAATATTCAAAATCAGATACGAAAAAATGAGAAATACCTGCTTAAACAAATAAAAATTTTGAATCCGAATTTGAGGTCAGATTTTAAAAATTCAAAATGGCGGACCCAATATGGCGGAAAAATTTAAAATTTATTTGATTCGTTCAAAATTCGGTACTCGGGGATTTTTGGGGTCTCTGAATCCAAATTTGAGGTCAGATTTAGATTCAGCGACCCAAAAAACCCCAAGTACCGAATTTTGAACGAATCAAATCATTTTTTAATTTTTTCCGCCATATTAGGTGGCCATATTGGGTCCGCCATTTTGACCTCAAAAACCTTTAATATGATGATATAAAATTTTTTTGCAAACTTTTTTTTTGGACCGTTTTGGGTCGCCATATTGGGTCCTCCATTTTGAATTTTTTAAATTTGACCTCAAATTTAGATTTACCGACCCCAAAAACCTTAAAGGAACTATTTTTATGAAAATCAAGTCAATTTTTAAATTTTTTGGACGCCATAATGGGTCCACTATATTGAATTTTTTAATTCTGACCACAAATTCAGATTCAGCGACCCCAAAAACCTTAGTATACACATTGACACTCAATTCTAATTATGTTTAATATTTTTTTTCTAATGTGGACATATATGTCCAAAATCACAAAGGTGGCACAACTTTTTTTGGACATATATGGGCCATCGACAATCAAGGGGTTAATATATATAAACTGAAAAAAAATTATTTGATTTAAATACTCGATTACTTGACTATTCTCAAATAAATATTTACTTGAACCAAATAATTTTCATTTGAATTAAATAAATTGTATTTGAATTAATAATTTCTGTATTTAAAACAAACCCGATTTAATTGACTCAAATAATAATTATTTTATGTTTCAATAAAAAAAACAAAAAATAAAATAGAAAAATTTGCAACTTCGGTAATACAATTTTTATAAATATGATTTCTCTTCATTTCTGACACGAAAAATTAATTTCTACAGTACTGCGAAGCGGTTAAAAGATATGCATTACGCACTAAAATAACTGTAAATAAATAACTATAATTACTTTCAAAAACCACAACATAGTATTTAACTTTATAATTTATTATATTAATATAATTATTAGACTTTATTTAATTCTACCATTTTTCATTTTTTAAATCTAATTTCAGATTCGTATTCAGTAGCCTAGAAAATTACAAATGTACACTTTGTTACGTGTCTCCTTTTTGTAAATGTATTAACCGAAGCAAGGAATTGATTTTTACACATAAAAACAGCCCAAAAAATCATTTTTGGCGACCAGTTTACATTATTGTTATTTATTTAAAAATTCTAAAGAAATCTACATAGTTTAGAATTTAGTTTGAGTCATATGTCAATTTTATAAGACTTTAGATTTACTGAATAGAAACTTTAGCAAATTTCCAATTTTTTTATTATTCCAGTAAACAATCATGTTATAAATTGTGCCACAGTTGGGTACAGTAGAACCTCGATTATCCTAAATAACCTAATCAAGGCCGGGTTCGAATAAACGAAAGTTCGAATGATAAAAGTTTTAAGTGTTTCTTAAAATTTAAGTGAAAACATTGAACAGTTGGAATATACATATTTAGTTTAATATATTTTTAATATAAATATATTAATTAATAATAATATATTTTTAAAACATAAAATTAAAATCTTTTAAAGATGAAAACATATTTTGCTTGCTGTGCTGT